ACATCCCCCGATCCTGATTCAGACTCCAGGAGGTGGGTCACTGAGGCAGTTGTTACAGTGAGTTAAATTTCCCGCCCCAGGACAAACCCACAACTTGTTTTGAGTCTGAATGTCTCGCCCCACATTAGAGCCCGGGATCAAGGAACCTCTTAAGCGTCTCTTGGATAACCCCGAACCCAGCCCCAATTCGGATTTGAAAATTGCATTTCCGGCCTCTCTGAGGGCAGCGAGATGACGACACTGAAATGCGGCGCCCAGAGCTGGGAGACTGAGCGCCAAGATGTAATCCCGACATTCTCCTGGTGGCCATGTCTGGATCCCCCCCGGCGGTACAGAGAGGGAACAGACCTAGCAGACCATAGTTACTCTCTTAGGCTGGCAGCTTTCAGGTGCCCCACTGGGGTCTGGTGGTTACACCCCCCCTTTGACCATGCGTTACTAGGAGACAGGCAGACGCTACGGCAGCAAAGCAGAGGCGGCATGAGCACAAGACCTCACACCGTCCAGGACTTCATCTGCTTTTTAAACCAACAGGACCTCAGGACACTTCTGGCACAGGTTTGTACAGCGCCCGGTACAGAGGAAGTCAGGACCCCTGGGTTCTCTCTCCAGCTCCGCTGTCACCATCAACTGTGTGATCGCTTTCCCATCACCGTGCCTTGGTTCCTCCCCCCACCCACCACACACACACACATCCTTCATCTAGGCCAAGCTCTATGGGGCAGGGAACAGCGCTTTGCGCTCATGCAGCACCTGACACAACACCCTGCGTGTGTGTCCCCAGACGGTTACCTAGCACCGCTGTGGCCCGGAGGCTGCCTGCCCCAGACGCTGGAGTGGTGGGCGTAGTCGGATGGCACGGGCACGAGGGACCACTGCAAAAAATCTAGGGAGAGCCCCTGCACACCCAGGCCAGAGAACTGCCCCAGCAGGCAGCCCTACAGCGAGCCTTTTAGGAAAACCGCCCTATCCCGGCCGGGGAATCCACCTCGATCCTGGGTCTGCTGTCCCAACGCTTCATTACCTGTCCTGTCAAAAACTGACACCTTATTTCCAACGTGTGTTTCCCCCCAACGAACCACCGCCGACCTGCCCGTCTGCACCCACAGTCAGACACTTCTTTGCCATCTTTCATTCCCTCCCGCAGCACCCCACCAGTGGGGGGGGTCTGTGCAGCGCCCGGCACAACGGGGGTGGGGGGGCCCGATTTCTGATGCTTGGGTTATTTCAACTCCATTTGCGCCGCCATATTTTTTTCAGTGCGCCCCGCAACTATCAGGAGGGGGGGGGGGGGGGGCTGGGACAGTTCATCCAGGAGACAACACAGATCAAGGCAAAAAGGCCGAGGCTG